ACTCCTGGGCTCAAGCGAGTCTCCTGCCTCCGCCTCCCAAGTAGCTGGGACCACAGGCGCCCGCCACAACGCCCGGCTATTTTTGGTTGCAGCCGTCATTGTTGTTTGGCAGGTCCGGGCTGGGGATTTGAACCCACCACCTTAGGTGTACATGGCTGGTGCCCTAGCCGGTTGAGCTATAGGCGCTGAGCCCTTCAGTATTTATCTTAATGGACTTCTCAGCAACATTGAACACTGGTAAGCATTCCTTTCTTTTTGTTTTGCAGTTTTTTGTTTTTTGTTTTTTTTTTTGGCTAGGGCTGGGTTTGAACCCGCCACCTCTGGCATATGGGGCCAGCAACATACCCCTTTGTGCCACAGGCACTGCCCCCTCTGTTTTTTTTTGAGACAGAGCCTCAGGCTGTCACCCTGGGTGGAGTGCTGTGGCATCATAGCTCATAGCAACCTCCAACTCCTGGGCTTCAAGCGATTCTCCTGCCTCCACCTCTCAAGTAGCTGGGACAATAGGCACCCCGGCCACAATGCCTGGCTATTTTTTGGTTGCAGCTGTCATTGTTTGGCAGGCTGGGGCTGGATTCGAACCTGCCAGTTCAAGTGTATGTGGCTGGCACCTTAGCTGCTTGAGCCACAGGCCCTGAGCCTATAATATGGAAAATGAAGCCAGTTCTTTTTTGTTGTTGTTGTTGCAGTTTGGCCGGGGTCTGGTTCGAACCACCCTCAGCATATGGCAGCCGTATGGGCCACAGGAACCACCAGCATTCCTTTTTTTATTCACTCTTCTAACATTTATTGAACATCTGATACAGGCTAAGTACCATCAGACACTATTGTTCCAGGGCACAACTGTGACAAAGTATTTGACCTCAAGGAGCAAAGAAGCAGACTATTACTCTGGTATGAAGAGAGTTTAGAACCAGAGCCTAAGGGAGAGGTATCTACCTGGGACCTGGAGCTTGCTGCAGCAGTGGAAGTTGAATCAGATCGTGAGCTGAGCTGACTGACAGAGGCAACATTCCAGGTAGAGTAGCATGTGCAAAAACCCAGAAATAAGAGAAGGAACAGTGTGGGGGGCACATGGGTCTAAGCCTCAGAGAGAAATCTGTGCTGCAGAGATTTGATCATCTGCATATGGCAAATTCTTCATGCCATGGGAGAAGGTGTATGACCAGCAAGGCAGAATGTGTGCAGTGAGAAGCCCATAATGGAACTCCCAGGGTCACCAAAGGGGCAGATGAGGAGACTGCAGCAAAGGAGGAAAAACCCAGTCATGAAGAATTTCAGAAGGAAACAGTGATGACAGTCCCAAGTGCTGCCAAGAGATCACCTAAGAGGAAGACTAAACAGTCCTTCAGTGGCTTACACCTGTAAACCCAGTACTTTGGGAGGCCAAGGCAGGGGAGCTCACAGGTTTGAGACAGCCAGATGCTGTGGTGGGCACCTGTAGTCCCAACTACTCCGGAGGCTGAGGGAAGAGAACTGCTTTAACCCAAGAGTATAATGTTGCTGTGAGCTGTAATCCTACAGCACTCTACTGGGGGCAACAAAGTGAGACTATCTCAAAAACAAACAAACAAAAAAACCCAGTTCTCTCAGGGGATAATTTCTGCCTACTGGGGGCTTCTATTTCACAGTGATGTTCTTCTAACTTTGCTGGCCACTGCTTTATAACAATGTTCTTTATATATACTTTATGTATTTATAACAATGCAGACAACATTCTCTCCAAGAAGTCTTTGTTTACATCTCCTACTTGCCCATTCTTATGTCTGTCCCCACCCTCTACCACAATTAGTCTGTGAGCCTCATCAGGGTAGGGGGCGCACACCCACCTCATTCACCCAGAGAACTACTGGCTCACTTGATAACAGGAGGATTTGTGAATATGAATTTTTTTTTTTTTTTGAGACAGTCTCTGTTGCTCAGGCTAGAGTACAATGGTGTTGGCTTAGCTCACAGCAACCTCAAACTCTTGGGCTCAAGTGATCCTCCTGCCTCAGTGCTCACCACGATGCCTGGCTAATTTTTCTGTTTTTAGTAGAGTTGGGGAGCTTGCTCTTGCTCTGGTTGGTCTTGAACACCAGACCACACAGAGTGCTAGGAATACAGATGTGAGCTACTGCGTCTGGCTATGAGTACAAATTTAACAAAATCAACTTTTGCAAGGCAGAGTTTAGCTCTTACTTCTCAGTAGCCCCAGGTCCCTGTAGTAATAGCAAACATTTTTGAAACGGTTTCAAACTGTGCGTTATGCATGGCCTAGGGGAGTTTAGTCAGACATATTGCTCAATGATTTCATCAATGATCTGAACCTGACCTGAAAACCTCAGTTCTCCAAACCAACCTCATCTTTCCCATTCTGAAGCCCCAGTTCCCAACATCTGCAATTCCTCTCTTCTGCTAAGTATATTTACTTTTTTTTTTTTTTTTTTT